TGACAAATTTGTTAGAACACTCCGACAAAATAAAATTCTCGGAAATGGTTTTGTGTTCTGACAAAGTTCCGATAATCCATTCCGTTAACGTTCCGACAAATATTGTTCATCGGGATTTTTTGACAAAATATCGACAAATTTGTTAGAATACTCCGACAAAATAAATTTATCGGCAATGAATTGGTGTTTTGACAAGTTTTCGAGAATCCATTTTGTTAACGTTCCGACAAATATAGTTCGTCGGAATATTTTGAGAAGTTTCCGACAAAGTCCATTGTTTCTCGGTAGTTCCTCGGAACGGCAAAGCAAATTCACCGATGACTCATGTTCTCGGAAACAATCCTCGGAGTTGACACTCTTTTCTTGTAGTGGTTGGCTAATCATTCCTGGAGGTCTGAATCGCTCAGATTTGCCACCCGGGAGGAGACACGAGTCACACGACCTGTCTTGAGGGAATTGGAGACTTTCAGGGATATGACTAATAATTATCCAATGTCTCCCACGGTGACACGGCCGGTGAACATGAGGAAGGAGGTGTCGCCGAGTCTGGAAGAGCTGAATAGACAATGTGAAGCTTTTATAAAGAAGGGTAAGGAGGAGATGCTGGAGTCGCTGATCTTGGACAACGATGTGGATTTAACAAGCGAGGCTTATTAGCTTTTGATTCTCATGATATTATTTTTTATAATACACATCAAGAACTGAAATATATATGTATAAGAGATTAGAATAATACCTACCAAAAAAAAAAAACTGAATGTAACAATGGCTATTGGTATTGTAAATTTGTAATACAATATAGTTGGTATTGTAATAGTGCACATTATATAGCAGTGTTTTACTTGCCTAATCAATGGCTCTATACTATGAGAGTCAAAGTAAAAAACTTCAATAATAGAGAAAACGATGAAGCTCTTTTATTTGTTTTCAACTTAAGATTACAATAGCATTGGGATGTAGTTATAAAGCTAAAACCCTAATTGGTAACTTTTTTTTCTTAACTCGAAACCCTAATTGGTAACACCAGATGTATACTGTCAACTGTATTCAAATGAATCCAACTTGATTTGATAAACCTTTGTTGTTAAATCCGGGGATGGGCTAAAGCCCATAATTATATCACACACGTATATGATTAAACATTTCGAAAGATCACGTGATATGATGGGTTGTTTAACAATGGAGATAACGACTTAGCAGATATTTTCTCTAATACCATAGGAGATAACGACTTAGCAGATATTTTCTCTAATACCATATGACTAACTGGGTTCTTAGTTTTGCTAAAAATCAGATTTTTATTTTTTCTTAGATTTTAACTAAAAAAATTTAAGATTTCATCTTTTAAATAAGAAATACAAAAGATGTCTCTTAGCCAAACAATGTTAAAAAAAAATATATATAAAATTGTCAAATCCAGTTAAAAGATCGGGGTTAATCTATGTCCTAAACTATCAGGTAAACAAACTTTGTTGACTATTAATGCCGTGACATATAACGGCCACATGACAGAACGTTGTACAAACTCGCGACTCACTCTCAACAACAGACATGAGACATCACAGGGAAGTTAGAAACGATGTCGTTTTCTGCCCGCTCAGTATTTCGACGAAGTTTCATTTGCCTTTTGTTTTTATGTCGGTATAATAAGCAAATCAAATATCCTCTCATTGTTTTTTTTTTTGAACTTCCTCTCATCGTTTCTTGTGTGCACAAAATGAAGTAATGAATTCCGTGTACAGTAATTGTGATCAAAGTCAAAAATAGCTTTTGAAAATTCTTATCTCATTCGTCACTAACTACGCCAAAGTTAGATTATTAATTCTTCTAACAAGCTGTTGGGTTGTATGCTATATATCAATTGTCTTTTGTCTATACAACTATTTTAAGTATTGAATCTAAAGTCTTATTGCAAATGAATAAAATAAAAATAAAAAATTCATGCACATCTAGGCAAATGATTTAATATATAGTTTGTCAAAGTGACAATGGCGATAGGATTTTAACCAAACCTACTGTCACGTTTAGATATTTCTGAATTTAATTCATAAATTCAAATAGAATCCGAGAGAAACAACTATATCAGACAAAGATTTAAGATGATTTGACGCTGTTGTGTGTATAATAAGGGCATGATTATCCATTGTCCTTAGTTGTTGGTCCTTAGATTAATTTATTGTTATTTTTAGTTTAGGACAATTGTAAGGACTTTTTGTTAAAATGTGGATTATTGGTGGGACTAATTGTTGGTTCTTAGGTAAAAGTTTTTTTTTAAAAATAACTAGTCAACATATATAACTAAGATAAAACATTTTATAATAACTAGTAACATGTATAATAAGATAATAACTATGAACGATTAATAATTGAGAAAATGACTAAAATAGACCTAAGAAAGTTTTTATCACAAATATAGATCTTAACAATTAAAATGACCAAAATAGCATTTAAATATTTTTTTTAAATATATATTTATACCCCTTAGGTTAACTAATCCTAGATTTTTTTTTGTTTAGAGTTGAGGAGTGGGGTTTTTGAGATAGGGTTTAAAATTTTAAAAAAATTAAAAAAATGTAGAATTTTCAAAATAAAAAGTGCTATTTTGGTCATTTTAATTTTTGAGGTCTATTTTTGTGATAAAAACTTAAAAGAAAGTTATTTGAGAGAATTGCCCTTACTATTAAAAAATTACAAACATTTTATTATATTTCATAAAAAACATACAAAATTCAGAAATAAAACCAAACACACACATATTTGTTAAGCCTTGGTTCAAAAAAAAAAACACACACACATATTTGTTTCATCAAGGAAAAACATCTACAAGGAAAAGTAAATGCATGCAAAAGACACAATAAATGCATCGAAATTAAATCACACACATATTACCAACACGCCACGTATCATCTAGGGACGTCGAAGAAAACTTCTTAATTAAGAAGTGTCCCACATATAGTTACCTATTTTGCATTTAAATTAAATCTGATTAATGCTAAGATACGTGGCGTGGGACGCCGATATTCATGGCCTAATATGTTTCCCTTGCCAATGGTTTTTTTAACATATCTTTATAAAACCTAAAGGAAAAAACAACTAAATACAATTGTAATCAGATCAACTATTTTCATTCAACCACTAGTTAATGTATATTTTTAGCTTATAGTAAAACTAATTAAATACAATCAAAAGAGATTTTATCTAGTGTAACGTGTTTGATCAAGAATTAAGTTCGTAGTTCATATTGTGATCCAAATTTACATTTTTTCATAAGACGTTTGTAAATCGAAAAACTAACTTTCATGCTATATTTGTTGAGAAAATGAAAAACTAAATAAAAGTAATTCTCTAGATATATAAATATGTGGTTTCTAGGGAGCATGATATTGCAAAAAAAAGACAATGCGGTATTTTGTTTTCGTCATTGATCTAAGCTAGATATTTGGTCGAATAAAATTTAACTTTTTCAAAAAAAATAAAACTTTGAAAAAAGAACTAGTGGAAAATGCAGGTTTGTTGGGCAATAGGTCATCGTAATATTATTTTAGAGGACGACAATGCAAGTTGCAACCATTAATTAACAAATCCTTGTATAAACCGAGATTACGTCATTATTTTATAACCAGTGCAGGTTTCATCTTCTTTATTCACTCATAAGAAACAATCTAGTAATATATGTGCTGAATGATAAGTTAGCCAAACGTGCACTTCCTGTTACTAGAGAATGGGGTATGTTCCATTTGTTGGCCATATTTTCTTGAACCCTTTGAAACAACAGATATATAATGATTAACGAAATATCCATAGTCAGCAAATAAAAGAAGTAACAGTGGATAGCACTCGAGACGAGTTGGAGATATACAGCAGTTTGAGAATTGACCTCTATCTTGGCTCGTTCCTCTGCTTAGCTCTTAAGACATTGGACATTGCCAAAAAGAATAACTCTTTTAAGATTTTTTCTTCTTTTTATCTATTATTCGTAGATACATATTTCTGCTTTCAGTATGCATTACATTTGTATTCATATCATCAGTCATTTCATTTACAATCTATGCAGGCATGCAGCAAACAAATTCATGTACGTAGATGCTAACGGACAGTATGCGGGAATTTGTGATATTAACAATCAGAAAGTAGCACAATCGAAGGGTTTGGCTTTCATATAAGTTCGTATCTAAGCTTAATCGTTTTCAATAACTTAGCAAAACTCGATTTATATTAAGTCTACTCTCGAGGCTGCTTTCTTGCTTTTAAATAAAAAAAAATGACAGATGAGAGCATGTGGTGTGAGTGTGTTTTGAGTCTCATAATATCTTGAGTGGGTTTCTACCTTTCGGGATAATATCAGAACGAATATATGTAATGATTTCGTTATGAAATCTTTCATTTTAGTCCAGTGACTTACTAATCCTCCATATCTTAATCAAGACATTCAGTGACATTTTAGTTAAGTAGGATGGTTTAAGAGATAAGAGTGATAGGTTTGCTTAATGATATTATGAATCAAGTTGTCTTGTGGTAGGTTAAAGTTACTAACGATTAATAATATGTTTACGACTATTTAATTTTAAAAGTGATTGGCTATTGTAAAATCTTAGTAATAACATTAATTTATTTTTACCCATTTTTACGTACTCTCTACTTTATAATATTATCAAGTGACATAGTTAATCGGTTTAGTAAGATTTTTTTTTTATTTTTGAGAAATGACTTTTAGTAAGATCATTTTAAAGATAAGAATACGTACATTTATAAGTAATATCCTGAATTAAGTGTCTTGTACGTAATGATTTATAATAATTTGGATAGTTTAAGTTTAAACTAAAGAAATGAATGTCATCCATCTACTATAAAACCATATTATTTGGTTTGTATTTGTCTATCCCTAATGAAGTGACACAATATCGTTTAAATACTCAGTAAGAACATATATGCACATCCACTGAATCATCAATAAATCAGAATAGTGTATAACTTATATGTAGTAACAAAGTGACTTTTAAAATCGCTTTATACATGTTTTAATTTATGTCGACCACTACATATTCGAATATTTTCTTTATTGTACAATGAAAATAAAAAGAAGGCGATAGAAGGCTAAAAATACGTGGCCGTTACGCGTGGGTAAATACTGGAAACAACAGTAGGGAATTATACGAATATACACACTCATACTAGGTTTGACTAATAAGAGAAAATTTTGTTTTGTGTCGGCGACTAAATAAGAGAACTGAGAATATCGACGTTAAAAAATGAAGAGAATGTTCATTTACTTATATTTTTAAAAAATATAATCGGGAGATATGAGTGTGGACACGTCGAGTTTTGTTTACGTTTCAATAAGAACGAACCAATAAAAAAATGTTTATTCCTCGCCCGTGTTGTTGTGTAAGAGGATGCACCTACTATCTAATACAATCCTGACCGTTCATATATCTAAAGTTTAATCCAACGGTGCTCATCAGCCATGCCACTAGTCCCCTCTCTATATAAACGAGAGAATATGTCTCAAGCTAAGAGCGTGACAACTACCATACACCACTTGATAAATCCATAGAGAGAGAGAGAGAGAGACTAAACCGGAAATAAAAATGGCGTCATGGATTAAACCGGTGCTAATCTCTACGGGCGTCGTGGCTATAGCTATGCAACTAAAAATCATTGTCCCTGTTGTGGCCGTAGATCTCTCTCGAGCTCCCATCCTTTTCAGTTCTCTTCTCTCATGGCTCAAACCACCATACCTCTACGTCATCACCAACGTCATCATCATCATGATCGGATTTTCATCCATGTATTACCAGATCATCACGAGCCCTGACAGCAAAGACTACGAGGGTGGTTCTTACAGCGGCGACAATCATAAGTTTCAGAATGAGCAAAACGTCCACCGAGATCCACCACGGCGGTCGGAGACGGCCAAGGATGAAGATTTCAGCTTCGTCGCCGCAACTCAGCCGTCAAAGGACATCATTAAGGAGAAGGAGAAACATGAGGTGGTTAAGGAGAAGCTAGCAGAAGCGGTGGTAAAAGCAGAGGAGGAGAGGAAGAAGTGTTTAGTAGTGGTGGCCGTACCGGAAAATCTGACTCCGGTTGAGAAGCCTCTTGTTGTGGCTAGGATCGGTCAACGCAAATTGGTCAAGACCACCACAGCAGGTAACTAAGTGAATACTATTTTTTTTTCTAAAATGGATACTATTAGAAATAAAAATATTAAAAAGTCGGAGAAAGAAGGTGACGTACGTCACAAGTTAGATTGTTATAGTTGAAAATGAAACTTAAAAAAATAGTTTATTAAGACGTTACATACTTACATTGGTAATTTTTTTGCAGAACGAAACTCTTTGAAAGCGTTGAGAGTGGCAAAGCCAAAGAGGCAAGAGACTCTTGAGAATACGTGGAAGATGATAACGGAAGGGAAACCGTTGACTAGTTATTACCGGAGACCAGACACGTTTGGACTTGGCGTAGAAGATTCCAACAAGACAAAGCAATTTGGTTTGAAGAAAGCCGAGACGTTTATTGATCGAAGCAAGTATTACCTGTCACCGGCGGTGTCAAGGAGTCGAAATGAGCTGAACGTGAGAGCTGAAGCGTTTATAAAAAAGTGCAATGACGAAAGGTTCGAGTCGATGAGACAGGACACAGAAGTGACTCGTCGTGGTCTTTCGTTTTAGTTATGGTTTTTGTCTATTTAATTTCCATTGTTGCATTTTTCTTAGACGCTAATAACAAAAGGAAATGACAAATGTGGGAAGTCACGGATAAACAAAGCACCCTGATTGGCTTAGTTTAGTTGTTGTATCGCATCTTTCATTTTACTAATGTAAAAAGTCATCAAATAGATATTTTTTCTCGTTTAAAGATCATTTTGTGTCCAACTAGCTAGTTTAATCATACGCACACACAAAATATTATATATTATTAACATTAAAATATTTGATCAAAAAAAAAATTAACATTAAAATATGTTCCAACAGAAAATAAAAAATTGAACAATATCATTAGAGAATGTAATGTACAGAAAGTCAAGCTTCAACAATAGTAACAGAAACAAGATAGAGATCTGACATCTGATGTGATGTAGATATTTTTCCTTCTGTAATTGATATTTTGAGAGTAGATATTTTCAAGTTAACCTTGGGGTTTCTGTATTCTTGTGTTTTGTCATCATCAGGCGATAGGGAGAACGTGATTCACGGCAAGACTCGTGAATAATTGTTAAGACAAGGTAAGTGGTGTAAGAAATCTGAACTCAAACTAAATACACACAAATACACAATCTTTTTTTTTTTATAACTTTCCTGCTGTAAAAACAAAACATAAAGGTCAAGCACTGAAAGAAGAGTGTAAATTTTTTCACTTCACAACCAATGAATTCAGAAGAAATGATTTACAAATCAATTGCCTCGCCTCATATGGCAGCTCTCATGGCTCCTCTTGCAGCATCTCTTTTCATCTCATCTGCTTTCCCGCTTCCTCGGAAGTACATGTATACTTGCTGCACATGTAAAATGGCCAATTCATATGTTAAAAAGAGTCTTTACCTCAAAAACTATACCGTCACTATATCTTTCCGGTTCTAAAGACAAGGAACTAGACCTGAATAACCCAGATGCTGACCACTGATTCAAGGCAGAAAAACGCAAACCCGATGAAGTAGAAGATCTGTGATGTGCAAAACAAAACATTCAATGATCAATGATAATATGAGCAGGAGCCATCTCATCAGACAAGATTTATCGGGGAACATGGAAAGTGACACAATCCAAGAAGAGCTCATAAGGGATAAGAAGGAAGAAGAGCTTACTCCGACCAATGCCTGACTGCTCAACATATCTAACGCAGGTAATATGCCCCTGTAAATTCGAGGATCTATCAAAATACAGTAACTGATAACAGGCTTGATATGCAAGTAGTAACCGATTTAACTCTAGATGTCTTGAAACTTTTGGAAGAAACTTACGCAAGTGACTTTCCTTTGAAGACAATAGGAGGAGCAACTGCAGCAAAGACGCAGAAAAGTATGTGGAGCTGTTTCAAGAAAAGATTGTGTCAGATGAAATTCTAGATGACTCGGGTCAAAAACCTGCCACTGATAACCAGTAAAACACTAGGGACTCACCATGTAGAACAAGAAAAACCATCCAAAGCTCAATGCGCTATCATTTCTACAGGAATCCAACACAGAATACATATTGAATAAGTGAATACTTTTCTTCCATTAGTACACAATATACGCATGCGATTTTAGTGAATACGTATGAGAGATAAGAACCTGAATGCACGGTAGAGAGGACGATACCATAACACATAGCCTCCTGGGACACCGGATATGAAGTAAATAAGAGCAAGAAGCCAAATCGTTACTCCTGAACAAAACAAAACAAAACATAAAACAAACTCAAGGCTGTAAGACATGCAGAAATGCCCCATTACAGAAGACTTGGTAAGCGGAAAAGAAAATAAGACAGAGTGTAAGAGAACAAAAGGAGACCTTCTCCTTTAATCCAAGCTGTAGTAACGGCGATGATGTTCCAGAAAAGTGCAACAACCAACCCTGTTCGACATGGAGACAGACGAGTGTAAGTTTCACCATTCTACATTTTTTTCTGACTTAACCTCATAAGTGAAAATTAACATAAAGTGCCTGGGGAAAGTACTATATGGACGTACCCAAATATGTAGCAAATGCAATATACTGTAGCTTTTGGAGACGAATGGGAATTTCATTTGCAATGTCATGGTGGATAAGAGGGAACAAGGGCGGCCAGTTTTTCACCTCAATAACAATTCCAGCTAGAAAGAAAGGACAGGTAAATAATATAAGAGCAGCAGACAAGAGGTCATTTTCAGGTTAAACCATAAAAGATATGTATGTACCTCGTGCAGCAGCATCCTCTTTCCGTTTGAGATCCTACACAGGAAAAAAAAAACTAATCAATCTACTGAAAAATGGAAGTTTTACACAACACCTTCAACCTTCCTCTTCAGCAATATCAGTGTTCTTCAAAGACTGTAAATGTGAGTTTCAAAGAATGGTGTTTGATACCTGCTCCCTTCGTTTAAGCTCAGCTTCTTTGGCTTGGAGCTCCTTCTCTTTCTTCTTCAGATCCTGTAATTCCAAAAACAAAAGAACAAAACAAGGAATAGAAATTAAAACTAATCCATAACGTATGATATCAACTTCAACATCAACATCAACATCAACAACCGAACCTGTGTAGCAGACCCTGGTCTGTCAAGAGGAACGTCAACACTGCGACCATAACCAAAACCAGCAGGCTCTGGAGGCAACGGCGAAAGTCTGGAAGCGGGTACACTTCCGGGATTCTGAGAATATGTAGACAAATCAACAAATCAACATGTTCTTCAGAATCAAACAAGAGCACGAACGTAGCAATCATTAACCCCTAAAGCCATCTATAATTAGCCAGAATATAATCCATAGTTTCAGCCAATATAAAGTCAACAAAATTTTCAACAGATTTGTATATAACATTATTCTCTCACTAATGGCTTATTCCACAACAACATGCAAGAGAGGCTAACACTCGAAAACAATGTAACGTAAAAACACACATGATACAAAACCCTAAATGAGATCCCAATTCGAAGAGGGAGATCACACATATATTTTTGATCCACTCAGTTGTGAGGGAAAAATCAAAAAAAAAAAAAGAGAAGAAAGATTACAGCAAAAGGATTGACTTCGTCTCCTTCGTCGAATGGGTTCCGATCGTAGCCACCTGCCATTGCTTACCAAACAAAACGGTTATCTTTTGATCTCTGAGAGATCTCTCTCTTCACAAAGATTAATTCAACTTTGAAAGAGAGCAAAAGGAAAAGACACAACAAAACTGATATACATCCGCATATATACAGATTTACTTCCATATTTTACTTTAGTTTTTTTTTTCCAACAGCTTGGAATTAGTATTTGTGATAATTAATTACTTTTGCCAACACTATCTTAAATTTTTATACCGAAATTAAAGGGGTGTTAGTGAGAATTGGACTTACAGAGATTATTAGAATTTTCAAGTTTTGTGTTATTGGTGTTTTTTTTTTTATTCTTACATTCTCATTAAAGTTTAGTGTTATTGGTTTGATGATTTATAGTTTTATAATAAATTCTTTGTTATTCAAAAAGTTATAGATTTTAGTAATTCTACAAGTCAATAAAAATAAATGTTACTGGAAGTTATATTCTTTACATTTTAACTCATAAAACAAAATTTTTAAAATACTATATATATATCTATTGGATTCTTAAAATTATTAAATATACTTTATTTTTCATAGATTTTCACAATATACAAAATTCTTTACAACTCTTTCCAAATTTATCAAAACTCTCAACTCTTAAAATCTATAAACTCTCACTAAAATACAAAAAAAGGCTGATAACAGGTACATACAAATTAAAGAGTTGTAATTTTTAAACCATTCTCATTTGTTGACAAAAAAAAATCCTCATTTTAGCTTTTATCTTATTTGATTTTCTTTTTTCTTTTCAATATTTAAAGTATTATATTTAGGATGTTAAAAAAAAGGAAATCTGCTTATTTTTCTCCCTAAATAACAGAGTTTAATAATATAATAAACTAATTACATAAAGCAAATCTCTCGTGTATAGAAGTCCTTGTTTATGCTACTTGTGTGTTAAGCTGTCCCTTGACTTCTCTTATGTTTTACTCGGTGAGTATTACTGTTACCACGCCTTAATCTTCTGTTACTAACGCTGTTACTCTTTTGCTTCGTCTTCGAGCTCGATGAAAATGGATCGATCCAGTTCTTGTCTTCTTCCACCGCTTTTTTCCATCGTTCTTCAAATCTTTGAAGCTCCCATGTCGACTGCCTCCTTATCTACTTGTTTCATCAAACAGTACTATGCTAAATGTTTTTTTCCTTCTATAACGACAAACCAAAGAAGATATTGTATTGATATTTACTCACCGAGGTTCTCGAATCAAACGTTGTATGGCCCTGTCTCTTTGAAAATATCGATGAAAAAAGAATCATAAAGGTGTTAGCTAGCTTTTCATTAGAGGCCAAATAAAGAGTGGAGATTGTTTTGAAGTAATAAATCTTACATTAGTCCTAGTATCACCAGCTGCCGTCTGCAGGTGTTAGAGAAACAAACGAGTTATATAAGTAAATAAGATAAACGAGTTTTCTTATCTTTTGATTCAGATTTTAGAGAGATCATACCTTCTTATCAGTATGTACACTTTCACCTAAAGTTTGAATGCCTTGGTGAAATATGTACTCTCTATCCACGATCCCTACCTTCATCTTCCTGTCTCCCTAAAACACGTTCAAAACCATGCTAAACAAAATTAATACAATCAAATGAAAAGTTTTAGACTACTTCAAAGTTTCAAAAAGGACAAGATTGTTCATTTCAGCAAAAAAGATTAAGTTAGCACAAAATCTTGAAAGAGAAGAGTGTGATCACCTGTGCACAATACCCTAGTTTCATATCCATTCCCCATCCATGAACCAAATCATTCTACAAAAATCAAAACAAAAGGGTCAGTTAACTTCTATAAATGTACAACCGCAAGTGAAAAAATATACCTGTATAAGATTCCAAGTGCAGAACCAAGCAGCTCTTGAAAACACAGGAGCCATTCCTTCAACAAATCTACAAAATAGAGTAAACAACAAAAATAAAGTGTATCAATTATACATATTTACTCAACAAATCACTGAAATTATTCATTGCCTACTAGACCATTACCCTGTGCAAGGAGGATCTTCACTAGTATTAGAACATTTCTTAGTGCCTCTGTTGATGTAAACTCTCCTGTGTTCATAACATCATGTTGTACATTAAGTTACCAAACGAGTTGAAAACAAAGAGAAAAAGCTCTCCTAATTGAAGAATTTGAACCTATGAAATTTCTTTGTTTTGGAACGGAGTGTGATCTTGTGGTGGATTTCAGTAGAGTTTCGGTCCAAAGCCGGTTGAGATATCTCCAGTCCCTCTGATTTAACTATCTTCAAATACCTGCAGAAAATAATTGGTGTGATCACACTCAGCTTCATGAAGCTCACTATAAGACTTCAAATAATGAAACTGAATATTACCTATCTGGTGTGAAGTTCACTACTCCAAGATCCTCATCCCACAGAAATATATAATCATAAATGGATACAACATCCGGATGGAGAAATCGTTTCGCAAACCACCTGAAAATCAAGAGAAGGATACATATAAAAGTAAATCAATACTTCACAAGTGAAACATATAGTGTTTTTTTTCTTTTTCTGGTAAACATGTTAAGAGTGAAACATCATTGTTTCAGTGTTATCTTCTTTAAAGATGCAATGGATGAGAAAGATTAGTACCATTTAGTCTGGTTCTGTGCGACTATATGTATGGCCTTTGAACTCCACTCAAGATCCCACCATTTATCCATATTTCCATCGTAATGGAAAAGAACAACCGTGAAATTCGCTGGAAGAAACTGAGAACACACAAATACTTTACATTAAGAGGAAACCTATTAGCTCTTTCCTAAGATTAGGATCAACTCAGTAAAATTTACAATACCTTCTTTACCATAGCGTCGACATTACTCTTTTGCTTAATGCCTACTGGTACGGCCAACAAGTTACGGTTAGTCATTTCAACACCCTGTGTTTAACAATCACAGCCCACTTCAGAAATTCTTCTAGCTACAGAGATATTCGATTATATTTGCTACGATTCTTGATGCAGAAGCACTAACCTTTGACCTCAGACTATTACTAGACCAGAGAGGCTTTAGTTCAAGGTCTGATCTAGGCTGTAGGATACCACGTGGCAAGCCTTTTAATTTGTCATCGACTGGTTCGGATTCCTTGATACAGTCCAGGAGTGAACTTTACATTAAACTGGCGATGCACTAACAACAGAAGACAATAAGATGATAATGTAAAAAGAGTTAAAATGTTACCTTTGCCATGTCAAAGGGATAATCTGCTTCTTCTAGCTGAAGTGTACAAAAAAAAAGAGTTTACTAATCAAATAACCAAATGATTACATCTAAAGAGGTCAAAAAGGTAGCATTTCGGTTACAACATTACCTCAGTCTCTTCGAATTGAATATTTGTGGTCTTATACCAAAAGATCAAAAGTGCTGTACATATGAGAGCCAAAAAGGGTTTCACTTTCCAACCGGATTTACCCTGCAAGACTCAGAAACATTTTATTATGAGATTCAGAGCTATTAGTCTAAACAGCATTATAACTGGAACAAAATCGAGGTTCTACAAACTAAACCAAGCTTTACCACATCTTGAGTATTGTTTCTTCTCTTAACAAATGACTTCAATGATTTGATTGACTTCATAGACGGCAAACCATGTTCCATAATCTATTTATATGCTACACACACCCAAAAAAATATTCAGCAACAAGGCTAAATTTGGAGGAAATTTCAAGGGTCAGAAAACTCACCAGAAGGTATCTGCCTTTGGTTTCTCCCAAGAACAGAGAACAGGAAGACACCTCACTCACTGGTCGGTAAATCTCAGTTTAATAGGCTGTGCATTCAAGACCATGCATGCCGCCTCATATGATCAAGTCTGAATTTATCCAGAAGAACAAAAGACAAATATAGTCACGTGAAACAGAGCAGTAGCAACAGAGCTTAACAGAGGAAACTGAAATCAAGGCTCCTAATGCACAAAAACCATATTTATAAATTAGAACTTTTAGAATCCCTTGCATATATTTATACTATATTACGAAACCAATAAACTAGAAAAAAAAAAAAAAAAAAGTTTCCCGGAAAACAGCAATGAAAAATTGAAGCAGCAAGTTTTGTAACAGCAAAAAAAGAAGTTATATCTGGGACCCGAGAAAGCGAAAAGGATTTTCTAAAGGAACGAAATACAAAATTTTAGAGATGAATTTTATTAATTGTATAGATCTAAATAATGGTAATATTTACTGTGTCTCATAGATACCATGTTAACGAGGATTTTAAAAGAAAGTCTCTCATTGATTGCAAAAATTTGTTGACAAAGGAAAGAAGAAAACACACACATAACAAGAAATCATCAAAATTCGAACCTTTCTCTTGTTTACAGAAAGACAGAGGAGAGACACAGAGAGAATGGAATCACAAAGGTCAATGATGAAATTTAATTGCCGTGTATGTGTGAGTTACTATAATTTAGGATCTTTAAGGTACACAAACATAGTATAAGAAACAGAAATATAAGAAAGACCTTAACAGAGAGATGTCTGAAACATGCGGAATCACTTTGACGACAGTAGACAAAAGACCCAGCTCGAGAGAGAAAATAGAACAGAAGAGAAGAAGAAGAAGAAGTGTTTGTCTTCTTTGCATGAAAGAAGACAAAACAAAAAAAAAACTGGGGAAGTTTTATAGGTCACGATAAATTTTCTATATTCGATCAGATTGAACGAGACGGAACGAAACCTACTCTAATTAAAAATTAAATCAAATATAAAAAGGTATTGCGACTCGTGTCCTACTCCTCTACTAATCTTTCTTTAGTTGGTTGACAAATATACACAACAAAATTAAAAAAAAAATAAAAAAAATCGTACTTTGAAATTTTGGATTCTGCTATACCGCTTGGCGATATATTTTAATATATAAAAAAAAAGAAAAGAAAATTCCATGTTTTGCGTTGTTTTACAATAACTTCATTGAGACAGGAGTTTTATGTAGTTCACTCTTTAAGCAACTCCGAAACCCAATAACTTGCAATTACTTTTCTGCTCTTCTTCTTCTTGATTCGTGCAACTAATCTGGCTTATAAGTTATAACTAATCCGGTTTTTTAGCTCTATGTTTTTGGTTTTCCAATTATTATTCTTTTGTCTTTAAACATCAACATGACGGAACCAAACTAAAATAAATTGATGCTTGCATAAATGCAGTCGTATTCCAAACCGGGTTATGTATACCAATAAAGTTTTTTCCTCTCTTCTTTTAAAAAAAAACTTATGTAGATATACTAGATATTCAAATGATTTTTATATATTTTCCACGATTGTTTATTTGTTTTATATATACTTTGCCATGTGCTTTTATTTCACCATAGTAGGTAGCATTAGCCAATGAAACGGCAAAAGCGGTAAAACGTTAGAGTTCAATTACCAAGTTGGTGAGAGTTTACAAGTTTCAGTTAATTAGCTAAAATACATAGTAGAACAAAGTTTGCAAGTTTGATATTATATAGTTGGCAAATGATTTTGTAGTAGGACTCATGAGCATGACATTTAATAAGATTACCATTATCGAATAGCCAAATGTGGAAAAGTTACAATATGCAACGGTATAAACTTTGGTGATTTATCCCGTGAAGTAATTAGGGTAATAAACGCAACGTCTCCCTCTTTTGCTACGAAAACAATAATGAAAAAATGACATTATACGTAGCTGGTTGTGAAGTTAAGTTTTACATAAGATTCACATATTGTTGCATAGTTCTTTAAGTTGTTTACAACAAAATAGACGAAACTATATTTTGTGTGGATAGAATATTAATATTTCTTTTTTGTAATAGAATATTCATACATGATGATGATTGTGTTTTGATCTTATGATAGTTTCATGTTCACACCCATTTCAAAACCCAACACGGTTAAAAATACATACGACTCCAGTTAACCTACCAAACAAGTAATTAAAAGCTGCAACCACATTGTTCATATGTTACATTCATTAAAAGATGTGTTGATGCCCAAATAAACAAGAATATGGATCCTTCTGCGCCGTAGACTAAGGCTGTATATCTTAGATCATATGTTGAAGATCTTGGACAATTTCTGATACGGGCGGTCTGAACCCTGGTTCCATCTATACACATCAAAACAAGTCAAAAGGGTTTAGTTCATTTTATCTCTATTGTCAAAAAACTGTCGCTTGACACTGCTTTCTCACCTAGTATGGTGGAAGTGATATTTACCTGGAGAGAACGTGATATGATATCTGCAAAACGTGACAATGATTTCTTTGGATATGCTCCATGTAACGACGGATCAACCATTCTTGTCAACGCATCTATGTCATGAAGCCGTGGAATAGCCCATTGAGCTAGTGTCTGATGTCCTCTCGGCCTTGTGCTGCATATATAACGGGCTTGGTCTTAAGTGAGACATGTTCTCGTTTGTGTCATAATCTTTAGTCTGTAGTCTCTTTTAGAGTATGCTAACCTGTCAAATGGTCTGCGTCCAGTGAGCAGTTCTAACATTACAACCCCAAGGCTATATACATCGCTCTGACAAGTGTAGCTTCCATACTCAACCTCAGGAGCCGCATAACCCGCCATCTACAAGAAAACATCACTCACGCTCCTATGTCAGGTTCTGGGATCTTCAAAACCAGACAACAAAGAGAACTTTTTATTACCTGACTAGTTGGACGTGGTGGTAACATATAAGCCAAACCGCTGTCTGCAACACGGACTGAGAGCTTCTCATCAAGGAGAACCTTGGAAGACTTGAAATTCTGGTGTACAACCGGCGGTTGGCATACCTCATGAAGGAACCTGAAACCAAACACTCTTAAAAGTTCCTCTACATGTTCCTCCAAATATAGTTTTGAGGTTCGTTTACTTACTGCAATGCCTTGGAAGCTCCTAACGCAATATTCATACGCACATTCCAAGTGAGCTTCTTGTGCAATTTGCGATCCAAATGCAGTGCATCTTGTAGTGATCCATTAGGACAGTACTCATACACAAGTAGCCTTTGACCATACTCATTACAGTAACCAAGAAACTCCAATATATTCCCACGTTTAAGTTTCAAAACATTGGAGACTAGGTTGAGGAAGTCACCATCACTCTGCGTCCTGTTGATTGTATTGCTCAGCTTCTTCACCGCAAGATACTACACACCACAGAGAGTTTAAAAAGAGTGCACAATGACTAAATAGCAGGTAAGAGAGAAGTAGTATCACACCTTCCCATGAGGAAAAACGGCTCTGTAAACATTACCAAGCGACCCTTCACCGATGATATGCTCTTCTGAGAAGCCATTTGTGTATTGCTGAAGTGAAGCAACGGTGAAAACAGTAGCTGAAGATGAAGAATTCAATCCTGGAGGAAAATGAGTAGCGCTCTTTGAAGCAGCAGCATCGTTGGGCTGGAAACGCCTCGGTGGTTGTTGTAATGGCTTTTGTAGATTATTAACATCCTTGTTATAAAATGAAGCAGTTGGAATCGCTCTCCTGCTCTCTTCAGGCCGTGTTGGTGGCATTGGATAACCATATTTCCTGTCTCCAGCTCCATATCCATCGTAAGGCTTAACCATAGGCTCCCTAGAAACTGCAAAAACAAAAGAAAGCCAATGAGGCCAACACTCAAGTAAGTTGTGTTTCACTTCTTGCAAAGAAAAGAATCAGTGTACCTTTTCCTAAAGTGGGGGTTGGTTGAGATGGAGGTTTATTGAAGTATGGTCGTTGTAAATTTTTACGAGCATCAGCTCCATATCTGTTATACTTCTTGCCTCTGCAACATCTCCAAAGTGTAACACACAAGCCGGATACGAGAACAATGATTGCCACTGAAGAAACGACTAGAATGATTCTCTGTGTGGACCAGAACTTTCCTGACCCTGAACCTGAAGGAGGTGATATTTGCAAAGTAGGTTGCCCTGACGCAGAGTTCCATGGATCTCCTCCTACATTATCAGAAGGTGGTGACCAAACCAAAGGTGGTGGTGGTGGTTGTGGTTGCAGTGGAGCAAAAGGAGCAGGAGGAAAACCGGAAACAGGAGGGACACGGGGAAGAGGAGGAGCATGGTGAGTAGCTGGAGGATCAACAGCCGGTGGAGGTGGTGTTATAATTGATGTATTAAATGGAGTTCCATCTTTTCTGCAGTTATATAATAACGTCAAAACATGAATAGCTGAAGCAAAAAAAAATTATACAAACATACTTACTTGAAGTTTGGAACTTTTAATAGATTTGGAGGTATAGGTCCAGAGAACAAGTTATTTGCTACATTCCTGAACCAAAAGAAATAATAAATTATAAGTTACTGAAGCTGGCTTTATGGCTTGAGAATCAAGAATAAAGAGTTAAAAAAATTACAAATCGTTTAAGAAGAGATCTTCTATAACTTCAAGTGTTCCAATGAGCTTGTTGTCCTGCAAATACCTGCAGTCCAGCCACATTAGATATCTAGAAGCAATGGTAAAAATCTATGCAACTTACAGTATCTTAAGAGCAGCTAAGTCTCCCATGGAGGGAGGTAAACGACCCTCCAGTACGTTAGCCGATAAGTCCCTGCATTAGATACTAAAACGAGTAAGCATGGATGATCCCACAAGGGGAGGAAAGAAAAGGAGAAAACATACAGTTTTGTCAGTTTTCTTAACTGCTGAAAGTAATCTGGAATATCTCCTGATAAAACATTGTTACCCAACGACCTGTAGGGAAAAAGTAAAAGAGTATCAGAAAAGATAAAAGACTAGAGATGCAAGAAACAGTATCTTACTTCTTTTGACCAAAGACTTACAGTTCTGACAACTCGGTTAAAAAGGACAGTGTAAAGGGAATATTCCCAGTGAAGCGGTTGCTAGAGAGAGATCTGAAACAAAAGACAAATGAAACCAAAAGTGTGAGTGTTTTATAACTGTTAAATCATAAGTATTGCCATAAAGAATAATCAATTCTCAAAACGCACAGGTTTCGGATAGTCGAAGGCAAAGCCTGTGGAATTGTCCCTGAGATGTGATTGTCACTGAAGTCCCTGTCCATATAAGCAGAAAACTTATATAGCGTAAGCAAACTATAGGTTAATAGCCAACGGGCAACATCTTGAATGTTCTTTATTAAGCATGAAGCCTTAAAAGGAAGTATGTAGATGAAACAAGAAGCTAGGCTTGCTTACATCACTTGGATAGATGAAAAATCAGCAAGGGTGTCACTTAAGCTTCCACCCACCTTCATGCCGCGTATCCTTCTGCAGCCAAACAACAATAATCATTTGGTCAGAACCTGAATAAGCAAAACCATATAACAAGAGTAAAAAGAGTAGAAGAGGAAGGTATACATTTCTGTGATGTTTGAGGAATCACAGACCACACCTTGCCACTTTTCTCCACAAGGGTCTCCCCCAAAAGCTAGCCACCGAGATAGAGATGGTGCTCCCAAAGTAATGTACAAGTTATTAATCGCAGAAACTGCATGAGGTTTAACAACAAACAAAACCCCATCACAAAACCAATTTCCACAGTTTATATAAATAAAAGACCAGTTGTGAGAATAATCCATTTAATGGAGAACAAGCACAAATTTCAGGGTCTTGAACTAAACCCTAACAAGAGCTTATGTGTCAAAAGATAAAACTTTTTGAGTCTTGTCTTAAAGCAATAGAATATACCAATCTGGAGCATGGAAGTCGGAAGACAAAACAAAGCTAATGTTTTATTTAGTTTACCCCTAAAACTGATGCAAGTAGTCGATTTCACTTGACAGAACTCAAAATCTAGTGTGCACAATAAACTAAAATAAACAGACAGACATGAGACGAGAGATTATTAACCATCTCGTGGATTGGTGACTCCAGCGGAGAAGGGCATTGTTGTCAAGGCTAAAACAGAGAGAACAAAGAACACTTGTCGACTTGTAAAGCTCATAGCTTCAGTCTCCACTTGAATTCAAGATTAGAGTCTCTAGCTTCCAAGAAAACTTTGAGGTTAACGGAGAGGAACTGTGACGAGAAAAAGGAGAAAAAATTAAAGAGGAAAGTGAAACATAATTTCGTCGGAATTCATGGGGAGAGAGAGAGAGAGAGAGAGAGAGAGAGAGAGAGGAAAATAGTTGGAAGAGTGAGAAAGAGAGTAGTGAGTGTGTTTTGTCTTGAAGAACGGGCGGCTCTTACAAAAGCAAACGGCTTTGTTGTCTCAGTTCAAGGTTTCGTCTCAAAGTGTGATAACAGAAAAAATAATAATTCAATTTGACTTCTGTCTTCCTCTTTAACTCTTGTCCAAATTTTAATGTTTTTTTCTTTGTCGCCATTGCTCATCTAACTATAGTTTCTTCGTGTATTTAATCTTTCATAGAAATTGCTTTTTCTATTGCCATCAGTTATACCTAGAAGTGAATATCATTTTGAGGCAATTCATAAGAAAACATGATGTTTAGTGTCGTCCAAGAAAAATAAAGGAAAACATTCTCCGTTTAGCAACTTGTATCCATTCTGGAACCATTTAAATATTTTAATATGCGTAAATGACATGTACAATCCTAACAAAATATATGTGATCTGTTAATTCACCTATAGGCTAATAAATCCAAATGATACAAGAAGAAGAAGTTATGTTTATATCATTTTGCTGCCAATTAATTTGCAGAGGCTTACAAGTTATTAAATGAGAGGGGCCATGAAAGCAGTGAAGTGGAAAAGCTCTGCAAAGTGTTGTATAGTGGGAGAAGAGAGTGAGACCCCACGATGTCAACATATCATTCCAGTTTTACGTTAATGTAGTTTAATGCTTCTTGGTGGTATAAATGTTTCATTGTGAGATTGTTCTAGTAGGTTTTTCGGTCTAACAAGTTTTGATACCACAACTCAAACTATTTGGTTGATGTCTTCATGATGTTTTAGTTATTACTTTTTTGCTTAGTTTCAATGAGCTTAGTTACATTATTTGGAAAGTGGAAATTAAAACTTATCACTATTACTTGTTTTTTGTATAACCTTTTGAAAAAGAGAGAGACAATTTCATAATTGCACTTTGTAGATATCATACTAACATTTAAGAATTCTGGTTTTGTGTTTACAGTTACAACTTACTATCATTGTTTACCAATTTCTTAAGAAAATGATATATTTAATTTGTATCTTGTTGTTTTGGTCATGTGGTGAAGAGGAGTTCTGAACAATCAAATATGTTATTGGCATGCATGCTTTCTTAGTCTCAGACTCTCAGATAAGATTAACTTTTATATTCATGTATGACTACTGCATGAGTTATTAATGACCCGAGTAATAACACCAGCAAAGCAAATTCGAAGCCGTGGACTACTAGTTTTGCACCTTGACTAATCTCTTAACAAAGTACATTGGTTATTGGGACTACATGCAAAGGGAAAAAATGCACAACACCATTCTAAATTTCTAATGGCCTTTAACAAGTGAAGATATGGGTCTAAATTGGTCGATTATGTATCCTCAAGCCCACTTGAAGGATACTTCCCACTAGTACAGAAACAATCTTATATATGTTCGCACATTTAATTTTTAAAAGTCAATAAGTGGGTGAGTTCAAACTACGCAGCTATTATGTATTTAAGTTTTTTCGTTTGAATTATTATCATATGGATATTTAGTTTTTAATGTTTTACATATTTTTATGTCTTTTTTCTCTGGATTTATTGTTTAGAACTGAAAATAAAAATCTTAAAGTTTAGCGAACTCAAACCCAAAAACAATAAAAATGGATCAAAAAATAAACAGTCCAAAAAATAAAACGAGTCATACGTAGCACTATCATGTCTTAAGATATATTTCCTATTAGAACCTATTTCCTAGTATATGTTTTCAAAAAATTATGTATGTGAGATAAAATAAAAAACAACAAAATTTAAGTATTTTTCGTTATTTATAAAATGAATATGTAATTTCTTTAACAATTTTAATAGTTACTATAATTTCATTTTTATCAAATTCCAGCGAAGGGATTCCCACAATCGATAACACCGTAAATAAAAATACTACATCATTCATGAATAAAATCCAAACTTACAAAAAAAACATATACAAACCTATATGAGAAAACCCAAACGACAAATATTAGCTTATATTAAAGTTATTTTCAAATTGATGAATCGTTTAGTACAAATATAAATACTATAAATAAATAATTATATCAAGTTTTGACTTCCAATATAAAAACCATTTACAACATAAAAAGAATAATATAGACACTTATTTTTACACACTAGAAATTATATTATAGTTTAATTATTTCTATAAACTACTTCACATATAAATAACATTTAACACATTTTATATACAATATTTTCACTTTACACTCTTGCTATATTTTTTCATTTCATCATTATTTTATGTTATTAGAGAATCCACTAAACCAACAATAAAAAAAACACAGACAAACATCAATGATCACAACTCCGCGCTTGCGCGGGGATATGTAAGGAGATTACAAATGCAACCTCTTCAATATTTGAAGAAAACTATCCTACCATTGTTTTGCTCAGACCAAGATGCCAATCAGATTAAACCGAACAAATATCACATACAACTACATCTGAAAATAATTTCACAAGTACAACTAGAAAATTAATGACCGAAACTAAACTAGTAGAATAGTTGTATATTCAAGTCATTTTAAATATTTTAAGAAATGAAACTGGTCAAACTTGAACATGAGATCTCTTACTCTACATCATTAGCAGTTCAACTACTATAAAACCACTGATATGTAAATGAACTGAACTGTCACCATTAAAATGTTTTACAGACCATATCAAACAAAGATAGATTAGGATTCAAGTCAATAGGGTAACCAGTAGTTGAACTATCATTTCAAACGTTGTGTTAATGCCAACAATCATTGTAGTACTAATATACAAACAAAAATTAGTTATGAATCTTATGAACTTGGACGATGCATTAATGTGAATTAGAACTATAGGTCTCTTTAAAAATGTTTATAGGGTAAATATACATCCTTGTAAAGTTAGGCTTTATTATTGTCCTTGATTGTTTAAGATGTCTCTCATTATCCCCAAAAAGCGAAACAAGATTAAAGAATGCAAAGGGTACTTTTTGGTCACCTGTGACCAGAGGATCCAAGGCACATAACGAATGTTTCGCTTATTCAAAATCACGGTAGGTTCATTTTACTTCAAATTTTGGTTTTGACGTATATGATCCCTCCCAACATTTTCTGGCCTACCAAATTCAATCCATTATAAATCATATAGTCTTTAAAACTCACGAATCACGATATTAGAAACCGTTAAAAAAGCAAAATCTTTACAATGCTTTATCCAAAAGATGAGCCTAACTAGTAAAGAAAATTGCCATAGGAAAGAAAAATGTTTGAATGGTCTACCAAATATAATATAATAGAGTATTTGTAATGCGAAAAACCGTAAATTATAATTCATAAGTGTAAAAGGGACTTTACTCAATGGTAACCAAACTGCAGGATCCCACTATTGTTTAACACGCAGTATCTAAAACAAGATGGCGGAATCTTATGGAGTTTTACATACGAGATGTGAGTAAGGCTGTGATTGTTAATATACAAATAAGAACATATCAAACAATTTGAACATATGTACAATGAATTAGTTTTTGTCATTTGTTACATGGACATTTTTGTATATTTCTGTGTTCAGATTAGAAGAACTCATTATTACTATATAGTTTTGATCAATATATTGTCTAATCCAAAATATCATATTTTAATATATTTTGGGATGTAAATGCGCATAGGAACAAATCCAAAATTCAATATATTACATATTGGATTCGTTTAACAATCAACTCTTTGACTGGACTCCATTGGTAAGTATTCCATGTAGTCTATGATACACGTCATGTTCAAGTTGTAGATTAGTTGAAGATGATCTGATGTATACTCATAATAAGCTATTTGAATTTAGTGTATGGTAACTTTTTGAGGGAGTCAAAGTTACCAAGCTTTTTTTTGCTTGCGTCTGATTTTTTTCTGTCAGAAAATATAATAATGATGTCAGTGAAGCAAATCTTTTGCCGTCCAACAACTCATACATTCATATAATTTTATCTTTTCCTTATTCTTTTAATTACTAAGAAATGAAAATATAGTTGAGACACAACCAAACAAAAACAAATCTCGAAATTGCTAAAACTTATGAAGACCGAGAGTAGATAAACCAACCCAATATAAAGCTAAACAAGCTATTTGATTAAAATCCGTTGATAATTAAGAGTATTATGCCTGGAATATTCTTCTTCACAATACTAATCTCATAGAAAAATGAAGCACTCTAACGATACAAGAGGGTTTTCAAAAGAATCATTAGAAGTAGAATTATCATTCTCTCTGGTGCAACTCGGCCACTGATGATGACAATCTTGCTCCGACCCGTTTTTATTCAGATTAGGTCTCACCCGACCCGGAGACTGACCTTTTTTCATCATTACTCCACCATTGTCCGAACTTGCATAATGATTCCGACACTGACCCACCATGACGGGTCTGTTGATGGCCGGTGACCTGGACCTCCTCCTCTCGGACCTTTCAGTCGGGTCTCTCTGACCCGTACCCGATGGCACCAGCCTCACCGAGCCAGCTCCTTCTCCTCCTCCTCCTTCAGTGTTTCTCTTACGTGGAGACATATCTGTTCTCCGGGTCGGATAATTATTAACCATGACCCGGTCACGATATTTCGCCGGAGACTTCTGCCTTACTCCATGCAGTTTCCTCTGTTTCATTTCTTCCTCGTCGTACCCACTCACGATAGAAAGCAGGCTCTCGCTCAAACTGCAGACTTCCGAAACCTCCGATCCTTTCATCGGTTCAACCGAACCGTTCTCGGTTAAAACCGGGTCTGGAGCAGCGTCGACAACTCCCGGTTTCTTCTCCTTCTCCTCCTCGACCTCTGGAATCTTGTTCGTTGTCGTTTCCATAGCCGAACTGTCGGTTAATGAAGTTACCAATGTGGTTTCGGACAAGACTTCTTTGACTACTGTCTCTTCCTCGACAACGGCTACTGGAGGCAGTGGTGTATTCTTTCCAGAGACAGGCTCAGCTTTCTTGTCGGTGGTGGCTGTGGCCGTGGCGGAGATGCAACAACCCATAATAAATAACGGCGTGTTTTTTTTTCTTTTGTTGTGTTATGTTATGATAGCAGCAGAGTGGATGTGTAGGGAGACATGTATGGGTATTTATCGGCAATATTTTGGATTTAGTGAGAAAAAAAACTAACTTTTCACTAAAGGTTTATATTTTTTCTGTTCATCAAGACAACAAAAACTATGTTTTATTATAGTCCCTCTGTTCATTATACGTGTTCTTGTTCATACGGATTAAAAATAATAATTAATTTTACATATTTTATATATAAAAACATAATTATCTATATACCTAACCACAATTTAACCTATAGAAAATAAAGAGAAAATGACTAATATAGCACTAAAATTTTTTTTTGTCACGAATGTAACACTTAAGAATAAAAATGACCAAAATAGCACTTATGTTTTATCAAAAGAGATAAATATAGATCTATATCACAATGATAAATTAATTTAAACGGTTTAGAGTTAAGGAGTGGAATTTAGAGTTTAGGATTTAAGATTTAGAGTTTATGATTTAGAATTTAGGTTTTAGGGTTTAGAGTTGGGGAGTGGAGTTTGGGGATAAGATTTCAATTTTTGAAAAATTAAAAAAATTTCAAAATATAAAATGCTATTTTGGTCATTTTAGTTTATGAAGGCTATTTTGTGATATAAACTTAGAAAGATGTTATTTTGGAGATTTGCCCAAAAATAAATTGAGAATTCGGCCAAAAAAAACACGAACTTTGCACGAATTGCCAAAAGAAACCTGAACTTTTGGTCTGACCAAAAAAAACATAAACTTTTCATTGACTTTCGAATTAATTAACAATGTTTTCATTGACTTGCCAATTTGGCACGCCGTCAACAAATTTAACAGAAAAAATTAACGTTGTTAATTGTTGCCGTTAGGATGAGACGACGTCGTTTTCGATTGAGAAGAAACGACGTCGTTTTAAGCGATTTGAAAATAAAAAGCCGTAGACCCCTGGATTCGAACCCGGGTTGATTGGATCAAGTGGCAAGGAAGTCTACCCCTAGGCTAGTGGCACATTCAATGTAACTATTAACACATTTACTTATATTTGGTACAGACTGAATATTAAAAAAATTCTATAAAAACTTTAAAAATCTTTAAAATTTCAAAACAAATGAAAAAGAAATTTTTTTTTATAAAATTAATTTTGATATTAAAATTAAAATAAAATTTTATTTTTCTTTAAAAAATCAGACGGGAACTTATAAAATTTTATTTTTCTTGTAATGTATCTATTAACACCTTTACTTATATTTAGTACTGATTGAATATAAAAAAATCTATAAAAACTTTAAAAAGTCTTTAAAATTTCAAAAAAAAATGAAGAAAATAAAGAGTTTTTTTTTTATAAAATTAATTTTGAAATTAAAATCATAATAAAAAAATTATTTTTTCTTTCAATGTATCTACTAACACATTTACTTATATTTGGTACTGATTGAATATAAAAAAATTCTATAAAAACTTTAAAAAATCTTTAAAATTTCAAAAAAATGAAAAATAAAGAGTTTTTTATAAAACTAATTTTGAAACTAAAATTAAAATAAATTTTTATTTTCTTTAAAAAATCAAAAATCTTCCAAAATTTTAGTTTAAAGAAAAAATAAATTTTATTTTAATTTTAAAATTAATTTTTTAAAAAAATCGTTATTTTTTCATTTTTTGAAATTTTAAAGACTTTTAAAAGTTTTTATAGATTTTTTTTATATTCAATCAGTACCAAATATAAGTAAAGGTGTTAATAGATACATTAAAAGAAAAATTAAATTTTATAAGTTCTCGTCTGATTTTTGAAAGAAAAATAAAATTTTATTTTAATTTTAATATCAAAATTAATTTTATAAAAAAATTCTTTCTTTTTCATTTGTTTTGAAATTTTAAAGATTTTTAAAGTTTTTATAGAATTTTTTTAATATTCAATCAGTACCAAATATAACTAAATGTGTTAGTAGATACATTGAATGTGCCATTAGTCTAGTGGTAAACTTCCTTGCCACTCGGTCCAATCAACCCGGATTCGAATCCAGGGGTCTACATCTTTTTATTTTCAAATAGCTTAAAACGACGTCGTTTCATCTCAATTGAAAACGACGTCGTTTCATCCTAACAGCAACAATTAACGTCCGAGTTAACACCGTCTTAACGGTTCGTTAACGGTGTGTTAAAATGACGAGTCAATCGTAAGTTTCTTAATAAACTAATAAAGTCAACAAAAGTTCAGGTTTCTTTTGGCCAGACTCGAGTACAGGTTTCTTTTGGCCATTCGTGCAAAGTTGGTGCTTTTTTTGGCCGAATTCTTAAAATGAATTATATAATAAAATTAATAAATTTTGCATTGAAAACCGAAAACAACACTTATTTTGTAATGAAAAAAAATTTATACAACAACACTTAATATAATACAGAGGGAGTATTTGATAACAGTGAAAAGTGAAGAGTCACATTGATAAGTTCTTTTTTAACATAGTTTTGTTGTGTGCCATCTACCAAGTGGCTATTGCGTTAACTGCGGAAATTATTTGAATTAAATTTAAGAAAATGACCAGTCATGCAAACCAAAAGAAACTGCTATCACCACTCTATATCTACACACCAGTCACCACCATGCAAATTAAGCATAAAAGATTTGTTTACTATGACGGATTTCACTTTTTTCTGAGTAAAACAGTACAACAAGTAATTAATATTGATATCTATCTTACAGAGTTGTACTGGTATGATCTCTACTCTGACTTTGATTGTAAACTCGTACGCAATATCTTGCATGTCATATTGTGCGGACTTGGTCAATCCAAGCTGTAAAATCTAGACCCTGATTCAATCCGTCTGAAGTCACGAGTTAAGATACGCATGCATTTTTCACCAAGATACGCATGCTTTACAAACTTTACAAATCCTTACTTTGATGCAAATATATATATATTACATATGTGGATTGTAAAAGTCAAGTCAGACATGCGAAAGTCTTGTATTAGTCAACTTTTCCAAGAAACAATTGTACAACATATGACAAAAGTACCATTTAGAATGACCAGACGAGAAAATTATATCCATGTACCATTTACATAGTAGTCAAATCGACATTGACTACACAAACAGAAGAGTTATATGTCTGCATTCCAAAATCCAAAACATTACAGATTCTTCACTCACTAACATAAAGATTAAAGATGTACACTGCACAAAAACCCAAGTCCCAAGTCTTGTTTAAACCTTAACGTAAAAGCTTCAAAGATCACAATAAGACTAACTCAAATCTTATTAATAGCTTAAGAAAATATCTCAAAACTCAAGTTCTCACAATGGATCTCTCACAAACTCTTATGTAATATCACAAGTTGATATCTCCATATATATAGATCCTAGATTCTCCTAAATTCACTCCTCAAACGTTATCTCTTTATTCCTAATCCTATTCTCAATAGGATTAGTATTTCTTGGTTTCCAAGTTAACTTCACGTTTACTTTCAACATTCTTCCTCTTAAACTTGAAGTTAGTTATATCTTGAACTCCCACGAGCTCTCTCATTTCTTTATACTTGATCCTGCCGAGTGCCTTTGTCAATATGTCTGCCTTCTGCTCTGTTCCTGGTATGTGTTGAACGTCTACTAACTCAGCCTCGACACACTCTCTTACGTAGTGATACCGCTTATGTATATGCTTGCTCCTTCCGTGAAACACAGGATTCTTTGTCAAGGCAATTGCTGATTTGTTGTCAATGTGTATCACAACCTTATGACATGGTTCATCGGTGACTTCTTCGAGTAGCTCTTGTAGCAATATGGCTTTCTTAGCAGCCTCTGTTGCCGCCATAAACTCTGCCTCGCAAGAAGATAATGCCACAGTTTCTTGCTTAGTAGAATGCCAAGATATTGGACAGACATTTAAGTAGAAAATATGACCCGTAGTGCTCCTTCCATCGTCATTGTCAATGTTGTGACTGGAATCGCTGTACCCAACAAGTTGTATGTTGCAGGTTCTTCTGTAGACAAGACCTAATGAGAATGATCCTTTCAGGTAACGTAGGATCTGCTTCAGAGCTGCTCCATGAGAGGTCTTTGGCGCATGCATGTATCTGGATAGGACTCCAACAGAGAAAGAGAGGTCAGGTCTTGTATGCAATAAGTAGCGCAAACACCCAATGTTTCTTCTATACTCTGTTTTATCAATTCCTTTCTCTTCCGGAGCTTTTGACAAGCTTAAACCAAACTCCATTGGTGTATGTACTGCATTACATTCCTCCATTCCTGTCTCATGTAAAATCTTCTTTGCATATCTCTCTTGCTTAAGAGTGATACCTTCATTGGTCTGTGCTACCTCAATACCTAGATAGTACGTTAGAAGGCCTAAGTCACTCATCTCAAAGTTCTCAGACATTTCTTTCTTGAAATCTCTGATCATCTTGACGTCTGAGCCACAAACAAGCAGATCGTCAACATAGACTGCAACTAGTAAGAGATGATCTTGTGACTTCTTTCGGTACAATGAAGGTTCTTTGCCACATCTGCCGAAGTTGAGCTGCTCTAGTACTTGGTTTAACTTCTCATTCCAGGCTCTAGGGGCTTGTCTCAACCCATACAACGCCTTTCTCAGTTTATAAACCTTTTCTTCACCTCCCTTGACTTTGAAACCTTCTGGTTGGCTTACATATACTGTCTCCTTTAGATCACCGTGTAAGAAGGCTGTCTTGACATCCAAATGATGGATTTCCCAACCTTTTGATGCTGCCAATGCAATGAGAAAGCGTATGGACTCAATTCTTGCTACTGGAGCAAAGACTTCATCAAATTCAATGCCATGTCTCTGTATGTATCCCTTTGCTACCAGCCTTGATTTATACTTATTTATGCTTCCATCAGAGTTCCTCTTGATTTTAAAAACCCACTTGAGTCCTATGGCTTTTGCTCCTTTAGGTAGATCAACTAAGCTCCAAGTATTGTTCTTCTCTATAGACGCAATTTCTTCCTCACATGCATCTCTCCATACTTTCTCTTCCATTGCTTCGTTGAAGTTCCATGGTTCTTCATTTAATGTTAGCAGTAGCCGTTCTCCTTCTTCCTCAGCGAGATATATATAATCGTCAAGATAGCCTGGTGGTTTTGTGATTCTTGTGGATCGTCTAGGACCTTCGTCTCCAATCTCTTCAGTTACTAGTATAGCAACTAATTCATGATCTCTGAACTCACTCTCCTCATGATTGTTTCCATCTATCTCTGGATCCTCTGTAATATCTTTATTCCCAAGTAAGCCAAAAGTAAGTTTAGTTATATCTGCTTCTTGACTTTCCCCGGTAGCATTAGTGTTCCACCTCCATGGCTCACTTTCATTAAAGATAACATCTCTACTCACCACTATCTTCTGTTTCACTGGATCAAACATTCTATACGCCTTAGAACCGGGTTCAGTTCCCAGATGAACTAGCCTTCTTGATCTATCGTCGAGCTTCTTTAGTAACGCAGCATCAGTCTTTGTGTAACCGACACAACCAAACACCTTTAAATGTCTAATACTTGGTTTTCTTCCTTTCAGTACCTCATACGGTGTCTGCAACTTCAAAGTTCGCGTGGATACTCTATTAATAAGGTAACACGCATGCCTCACAGCTTCTCCCCAAAGATAATTTGGCATATCCATATGCTTAAGAATACTCCGAGTCATCTCTAGCAGAGTTCTGTTTCGTCTCTCCACCACTCCGTTCTGCTGAGGTGTGTAGGGCGCTGTTAAGTGTCGTTGTATGCCTGCCTTCTCACAAAATTCTTTAAACTCCGTTGATGTGAACTCACCACCCCGATCAGTTCTAAAGGTTTTGATGGTTGATTTTGTTTCAGCTTCCACTAATGTCTTGAAACTTTTGAACTTTTCAAATGCTTCTCCCTTTTCTTTTAGCAGAATAATCCACATGTATCTCGAGTGATCATCAATAAGTACAAAGATGTACTTATTCTTTCCTGCTGTCATTGGTGTTATTGGCCCACATAAGTCTCCATGGACTAATTCAAGAAGCTCTGTAGCTCTGTATGTAGTAGCTTGTGGAAAACTCTGCCTTGTTTGCTTCCCACGCATACAGGAGCCACACATCTCCTTCTCAACTTCCATATTCGGTATACCTAAAACCAGTTCCTTTTGTATCATAAGCTTCATAGCTTCCACCCCTATGTGACCTAGACGCGCATGCCAAGTTGTTGATTCTGTTTGAGTAGTTGTCTTCAGACATTCCATGTTGACTATCTCCATACGCACCTTGTAAAGACGATTCTTTGATCTTCTTGCTTCTGTAATAAGGTTTCCGTACTGATCATGAAGTGTCAGAAGATCACCTGTCATGCTTACTTTACAACCAGATTCAGTCGCTTGACCCAGACTTATTATGTTACTTTTAAGATCCGGTATGTAGTAAACGTCTGCAAGTATTTTCTTGTGTTCATTGCCAGTAATAAACAGGATGGATCTCTTCCCTTTGATATCAATCTTGGAATCATCACCAAATCTAACCTTCCATGTGATAGTCTCATTCAATGTCCTGAAGTATGATCTATTGCCAGTCATATGGTTGCTAGTATCTGAATTAGCTTCAAACTCCTTGGGTTGAACATTCTTCTCGTTGAGATACACTATCTCATGCATAAGTAGTTTATCTGCCTGCTGCGTGTCTTCCTCCTTTGTCTCATAAGCTTCTTGTAACTTAAGTAGTCGGTCTGGACAACTAGAAGCGAAGTGTCCAAGCTTATCACATCTAAAACACACTATTTTAGACATATCAAACTCTCTATATGACCTTCCTTGGCCACGTCCTCTGCCGTAATATCTTCCTCCTCTACCTCTGTTTCTCGAGTCATTGTNTTTAGACATATCAAACTCTCTATATGACCTTCCTTGGCCACGTCCTCTGCCGTAATATCTTCCTCCTCTACCTCTGTTTCTCGAGTCATTGTAATCTCTATTTGGATAACTCTGAGATGATTCTGTCTTAGCATACATAAGTTTGCTTTGATCATTAGATGTCTCCTCTTCTTTACCCCGAACTCTATCTTCATATGTTATAAGCCTTCCAATGATATCCTCAAAACTGGCTGTCTTAAGGTCTATGAACTGCTCAATAGTGGCTACGATGTGTATAAATTTCTTGGGTAAAGATGAAAGAAACTTCTTGATCATCTTTGGCTCATCAATGTTTTCTCCTAAAGCTGATGATTTTGATGAGATTTCTCCCATTCTTCCTGCAAATAAGTCGATGGTATCATCATCTTTCATTGACAATTTATCAAACTCTGCCATAAGTGTTTGAAGCCTTGCTTCTTTCACTCTATCTGCTCCCATATGCCTAGTTTTGATTGCTTCCCAAACCTTGTTTGCATTATCCAAGTCTCCCACTTGTAGGATTAGGGTTTCGGGTATTGAAGCAAAAATCAAAGATATAGCCGCATTATTCTTCTTTTTATCCTCTGTTTCTTGTTCAACTACTTCCCAAACTTCATGCACCTTAAGTAGGACCTTCATACGGATTGCCCAAACAGTATAATTTGTTGTTGTAAGCATTGGACAATGAACGATGGCTCCATCTTTTCCTCTCGTTGTTATTGCTGCTGTTGTTGCTGTGATTTCACTCATGTTTGGCTCTGATACCAAATCTTGTTTAAACCTTAACGTAAAAGCTTCAAAGATCACAATAAGACTAACTCAAATCTTATTAATAGCTTAAGAAAATATCTCAAAACTCAAGCTCTCACAAAGGATCTCTCACAAACTCTTATGTAATATCACAAGTTGATATCTCCATATATATAAAGATCCTAGATTCTCCTAAATCCACTCCTCAAACGTTATCTCTTTATTCCTAATCCTATTCTCAATAGGATTAGTATTTCTTGGTTTCCAAGTTAACTTCAAGTTTACTTTCAACACCAAGCCCATATTTTCCATAACAAGCAAGTTACATGTTGATTTTTATATCAGTTTAATAGGGATTGAACTAAGTTCAGTGAGGATTTGGATTTTAGGGGTGAAGATAAGAGAGTTGTGTGCAAAGTTCCAAATCCTGGAGAAAGAAAATGTCTATATACTCTCTTTTCATGTAACTAGCAAATGGCTGAGAAACTATAAAGTCAAATCTTGAATATATATGCTTAATTAAACCAAGGAGAAACCAGTTTCCGATCCTAATGCTTATGTACATACAAATACGCATAAATAATCTCCTGAATCCAATAAATGTAGCGGAAGCCTCAGGAGAAAAAAAAACATAAAAACAAAAACATCAGAAGCCAAACTCAACTCAGCTCAATGTGGTTGGTGGCTCGAATGTTTGTGATAAGCCAATGGTGGTGATGGTGGTACGAGATAAAGAAACATTCTTTCAACATTCTTGAATGGAGGAAGAATCACTTGATGAGCTATGTTGATGCTGAGGCTGTGAGATGATGCGTTGAGGAGGACATGGCACGGGCGCTGGATGTGCGATGAAAGTAGGGATATCGTCTCCTGGCATCAATACCGATACCCCATTCGTGTAAACAGTCATCTGCATTATTCAAACATCACAAAATCAGTCATTCATAAACTAAAAAAATGCCAATAGATAGAAGCAAATGATTCTTCATAATAAATTTATTTCATGAGCCAACAAAACACATAGCAAATGAGAATTTTGAGTGGGTGAAGACAATGACAGATCTAAAACATGTGTGATTGTTCCCCAACAGAAACTCAAGTTAAGAGGAAGAAAAAGGCAAAACACATTTGGATTAAGTTTACATTTATGGGTCCTCCCATGCCTTGGAATGGTTCTATCTAGTCTCTGATCACATGGTTTGTTCCATAACCATGCAAAATCAATCTAATAAATGCCAATCAGTCTTTATCAAACCGGCATGTCTATAACAAGAAAACAAGGTATAAAAAGAGGACCCCACGATCATCAAGGAAGAAGACCTAATTCAAGCTTTGACCCGTTTCTCAAAACACAAGTGGGATTCAATCGCCGTCTATGACCAATGTTAACATACTGTTTACTATTAAAAGAGATGAGGGGGCAACGAACTCCCTCATGAAACGATTTTTCCAACATTATGGCAATTAAAAGCAACCTCTTTAATGTGCAACTATTTCTCCAATTCAAGTTCACATATGGATTATGATCTCATTGGTATGGTCTTTAGAGTCAAGAAGACTATGCAGTCTTCATTTAATCCTATCCACAAGAACATGATTAAACTCTAGAATAAGAGGGATGTTAGGTTTGAAGAAAGCTTGTGGGGTCATTTGTGTTCCTAGGAAATGTCAGTCACACATGGTCTTAGACTTAGACGTTAGACCTCATTTTCCATCTACAACACGCATAGTTTTTGTATAGACCCGTCAACAATACTTACAAACGAATCAATCTTCCAACAAACAAAACTTTATTACACTTCTTTCTTGTCTCCTTCGTCATTATGAAGAAGCCAAAAAATATAAAACAGGAGATTCTGAATGACGAAATAAATCAATTAATGCATCACCACGTCTATACATATACTCAAATAGTGTATGAGACATCTTTAAATGTTGTATGATGTAAAAGCATGTGCAATGTTGGGTCTCTTTCCATACTCAAATAGTACACAGAATCAAAACCCCTATGATGTTTTCTTCATTTGCTTTTCGGATGAACGTGTTCACATCAAATGAAAATACCCCAAAAACTTAAAAATGTACAACTTTTTTTAGAATAATTAACCAAAAGCTAAACCTTTTGTATTAATTCACCAATTAAGAAAAACAGAAGCTTTCTTTTGGTTCTTGTTTTACCAGATGTTCATCACACGTGTCAAAATCAGATTTGACAGGAATCAAAAGTGTTTTAACACTTAACAGTACTAATTAATCAGACAATAACACGACAATTAAGGAATCTAAAGTTTACGACTTTATTCTTTGAGAACCCAAAAGTAAAAGTACTTGCCTTTGGAGATTGATACCCGAGCTTAGATGCTGCACCATTGAACCCGACCCGAGAATCCATACCCGAAAGAACCCGACCAGAAGAAGCATCTGCGTTAGTAGTAGTCGTTGTGGTCGTGGTCCGGATCAGTCTCTCGAAGATAGCCATGACGAGGAACATTGAGATGAGAATGGCTGTTGCGACGAACCCAAAAGAGACGGCGTTGACTGAGTCGTCGAATCGAGATTTCCACGGCTCTTCTTGCCGGAGATTCATCGGAGCTCCAATGGGTGGCCATTGATGGTTTACGCTCGTCTTCAACCTCTCGAGCTCTCTCATTTTTGGTATTAAGAAGATATAAGATAAGCTTTTTTAGTGTTGTTTCGTTTTTGAGAGTTCGTTAAAATGTGGAAACAGAGAGAGAGAGAGATGTGAAGTGAGTGAGCTATGAGATGAAGAAGGAGGAGAAGAAAGGGAGCAAGTGTGGGGCTAATATGTGAGAATGTGAAAGTTTTGGGATTTTAAATGAAATTAAATTAAAATTGTAACTTTTCGGGGACACACATGTTGTCCTTTATTGCACAGCTTTTCCTGCAAAAAAAATTTACAAAGAGAAATAGTGTTTTTTGTTTACTAATATACTTTTTTTTTACGTTTAATTAAGCGAACAAAATAGCATACATATAGGGAGAATCTTTTCACTTTTTATATTTTGATCACGATGAACATACTTTGTTACCATTAACGACACGCGTGACTGGATGATTATTTTTAGTAAGCATAATTGGTTTATCCTAAAGTATAAACTACACGTAATATATTAAGTCAGTACTTTTTTTTTTTGCAGATCTAAATCTAGTGATACCATTTGTCGAGAGAAGTACATTAAGAAATAACATACTAATACTTTTGCTATTGCTAGAATTTGGACAAGTTACAAAACCTAGAATAAACATTACTTTAATCCGATTAGTCGCTTTTTCTTGGTTTACTGGAAGGTTTTGTAACCGAAGCCGAAACAACAGAAACAAGAAAGAAGCAAGGAAAATACGATGCAAGCAAATAGATTATCTTAAAAGTACACAAGGCTTGGAACAAGATTAGAGATAGAGGGGACAATAAAATTCATCACAATTCACAAGGGAGAACAAACAAACTCCACTCCACAGTTTTTTTTAAGACTTTATTCATTCCACAAAGTTTAAAGTTGAGTAATGGAAATACATGAGTGTTGGAAATCCAGTAAAAGTGATCCATCGTGCATGGAGTTGAATAGTGGATATGGAAGTGGGGAAAGATATCTTTGGTGACAATATTTTATTTATGTAATTGACCTTCATTGTGCAGAAAACCGTGTTATTGTGCTCGTTCAGTATATCCTATATGTTTTGTACCAATTTCTCTCTTGTTATATCATCTATATATGGAATATCTTTCAGGATATAATAGCTGCCATTATAAGAAACTATAGATGTGTAGCTTAAATGTTTCATTGCTTAGTATATATACAAAAAGTGCCTTGACAGCAACTAATGAAGAAAACCAAACAGTTAACTAGTATGAAGTTTAGATATTAGACTATCTTGAATATGTGTAGAATTTAAAATGACTTACACTGAGTTTGTAAGAGAATCTTGAACTTTTTTGAATATTATTTTCGTAGATTGTCTTTACTAAACAATTAGGAAAATTTTAAACAGGTTTATTTCAATAAATGAAATGACTTACAATGAGTTTGTAATAGCACAGTGATCATCTTTATAGGACCAACGCTGTAAACTTGTTACAAACCTGAAATAACCCCACCATAGTGCATATGTTTTTTTTTGGTAACAAACATAGTGCATATGTATTTTGATATTCCAATTCAGACTTTTATACGTGTTAGATTGGCTGGCGAAATACTCTTAACTAACGCATTTGGTTACCTTGGTTACCTCCAAGATTATCTGGCACTTCAACCCTAGTATCTCGCAACAATCATATTTAGAATTTAATATATACCCAAAATGTATAAGATTACCAACCGCTTATAAAATACTGTAACATTCAATTCAAAGTCTCAATGAGAGTAGATGTCCTATTTTCTAGTATTTTTACACAACTTTGGTTTTATTTTATTGTTTTCAGTAGTGAAAAAGAAAGAATGTTTAAATTTTTGTTAAAAAAAAGAAAGAATGTTTAAATTTTTGTTAAAAAAAAGAAAGAATGTTTAAATTTCAAAAGAAAAGAATATTGATTCGACGAGATAGTAGCAGACAAAGACCAAACAGTTGAATAGAAAAACAGAGTATCCGAAAATGATGTTTAGGCACTCTGCCCAAAGTTTCTTCTTCTTCCTCTTCCTCTGTTATATCTCTTTCTCGTGACCCTAAATGTAAATTCGACGCACGAATTCAATTACCTAAAAAAGCTGCTCACTTTTTCTTCACTCCTCTCTTCTTTTTCTTCTGCCAAAACCCCAAAAGACCTAAACTTTCATCCATTTATAAAGACCCTTTTAAAGCTTTACAATCCAGAAAGTGGTTTATTTGAGTTTACTGAGTAAAAATGATATTGGAGAGTAGTTTCAAGGCGTTGAATAAGTACCGGAAGAAGATGTTCAAGAGAGTTAAGGAGACGGTGATGAAGACAAAGAAGAAGAAACATACTATGTTTCAGTATGATCCATCTAGTTACGCCTTGAACTTCGACGATGGAGGAGAGGTTCATCAGAGATTCTCCGGCGACTTTAAACACTGCAAGATCACTTTGATTTACGTTGTTTCCGTCAAATTTTGAAATTCTGTTACAGTTTTGAAACAGTCTACACTTGTTTCAGTGTCTCCCTCTCTCTCTCTCTCTGTCATTTTCCATCTTCTTTCTGTCATTTCTTGTTTTTGTCAGTGTTACTGTGTTAGTGTATTTTACTCAAAGCTTGAATCCTTTGTTTCCATGTACTTCAAAAGATCGAAAGACGTTGGTTCTTTTAAACTCGAGTCAAGCTTCTATTAGAACGATTTATATATGAAATATTTCATATGGTGAACACACTCTTCTGTTACTACTACTTGTGCCAGTTCCAACCTAGACATCCTAATTACTTGTTGAACAATTTGAAGACAACGAAAAAATATATTAATTCAAGATCATGTTGTAGTTAGCTACTGTTACTCTGTATTTTTTGACCATTATGATTTTTTTATGAACAAGTAAATATGGGATCTAGGGATTTATGTTTAGTGATTAATCTATTTCGAATCCATAAACCACATACTTGAAAGAGTAACATTATTGACCTAACACTTTTCTATAGTAATTGTCAAAATTCTTTGGGACAAAAGAATTTTGCAGCTATCTATCTTGTTAGTTGAGAGACAGATAAGCAAGACAGAGCTTGTGAAGTACATTAAAGAACAGAGAAACAAGTAGACAAAGAAGCAACTTTTGTGGTTCGTTGGTCAAACACCCAACAAACTTCAAAATCAATTTCGGTTACCCCTTTCACAAGTAGCTTTCTAGGAACCGTACCCTTGTTGGAGAATAAAAGCCAAACAAGTAACCAACATTGAGAACACAACCACATCTCTTGTTTATTGTTTACCAGGTGGTCCAGTATTTTCATCAGTAAGCAAACAGTGTACAGTTGACAAAAAAAAGAGAAGCAAACCAGTGTATCATAAATGCAATGCCCAAAACCTTGATCTCAATCACTTTATACACAATGAATCAATGGTTGAAATATCTATTGAATAGAGAAAGTTGTGGTTGCTTTTTTATAAAGAGTGAAATTCACCAGAACAATGTGATTGACCTGTATATCAATTTCTAGTCACAATTAACCCAAATAGGTAATAAATACATTGCCTATTGATTAAATATGACTATACACAAAATTATGTCAATAAACAGAATCTCAGACAAATGTATTCAATCTTGATTTTTGTCGCCACCACATCTATCATTCAACCAACTAACAATATCCTTACGAACAATCTCAATGTTGTTATCGGGTTCACCGAACAACATCGAATGCATCATCTCTTCATTGATCGTCAACTTCTTGTCTTTACTCTTGGCGTCTTCGTATAACTATCTGCTCACCTCAGGATCAGTCACAACATATGCACTTCTGTGTAATACAACGAAAGAGTTCATAATATTTTCTTGACACTCAGATTTTGGAGGGTTTGAAAACATTGTCTAAATTTTTTGAAAATCCTTCAGAAAATATTCTGAATCCTTCATAAATCAATTCTAAATCTTTAAGTAACCAATTCTAAACCTCTTAAAACTAATTCTAAACCTTGTATAAAGCAATTTTAAATTCTTCTGAAACCAATTCTGAATTGTTCAGAAAATATTTCAAACCATTTAAGAATATTTTTCTATAGAATTCATAACTAATTTCCGACCGGTTAAGAATATTTTTTGAAGGGTTCAGAATATTTTTCTAAATGATTCATAAAAAACTACAGTATTTTTTGGAAGGTTTTAAAAAATGAAAACTAATCTGATTATGTCATCCAATCTACATTTTGGAAAGGTCTAGAAACATTGTTTGAAAGGTTTAAAATATTATTCTGAAGGGTTTTGAACTAAATTATGACGGTTCAGAATTTATTTATGACGGGTTAAGAATATTTTTCTCAAAGGTTCAGAAACAACTACAAGCATTTCTGAATGGTTCAAAATTATTTTATGAAGGGTTCAAAATTATTTTCTGAAGGAACAAGAAACAATTTATATAGTGTTCAAAATTGATTTCTGAAGAGTTTAGAATTGAATTCTGATGAGTTCGGAATAGTTTTATAAAGAGTTTATAATTGATTTCAAACGGGTTAAGAATATGTTTCTGGCGATTTAAAATTATTTTTCTGAATGATTCAAAATTATTTTTCTGACGGATTAAGAATATTTTTTTTGAAGGGATCATAATATTTCTATAAATATTTTCTGAATGATTCTGAATTGTTTTCCTAAGGGTTGAGAATTATTTTCTGAAGGGTTAAGAATTGATTTCTGAAGAGTTTAAAATTGATTTCTGACGGGTTCATAAGAGTTTTTGAAGGGTTCGGGATTCTTGACTGATGAAGAATATTTTTCCGACGGGTTAAAAATATTTTTCTGAAGGGTTCAGAATAAATTTTCTGATCGGTTAAGAATTTTTTTTTTTTTTTGAAGAGTTCAAAATATTTTTCTGAATGTTCTGAAATAACTAAAATATTTCAAAAGGGTTTAAAAATGAATTCTACTGATTATGTCATGAAATAATATACTGCTATTAGCCATGGTTTTGCTCATGAAACTCAGACACATTTTCTGAAGGGTTCAAAATTATTTTGTGAATGGATCAGAAAAAATTTTCAGAAGGATTAAAAATTGATTTTTGAAGAGTTCAGAAATGATTTAGGAAAGGTTATGAATTTATTTCTGAATGGGTCAAAAACATTTTCTGATGGGTTCATAATTGATTTCTGAAGAGTGTAGAACTGATTTCTGATGAGTTGATACCTATATTATGGAGGGCTCTGAAACATTTTTTGGAGGTCTCATAAACATTTTCTGAAAGGTTTAGAATATTTTTCTGAATTGTATAGAATTGAATTTCTCACCGGTTTAGAATTTCTTTATGACGGGTTAAGAATATTTTTCTGAAAGATTTAAAATATTTTTCTGAAGAGTTCAGAAACAACTACAATATTATTTGAAACTAATTTCTGAAAGGCTCAGAATTATTTTCTGAAGGATTTAGAATTAATTTTCTGACGGATTACTAATATTTTTTTGAAGGGTTATGAATGGTTCAGAAATAAATAAAATATTTTCGGAAGGGTTTAAAAAATGAATTCTAAAACTGATTTAAACCAGCTTAGTTACTTATTATCAAATCTCAATATTTTGATGAATATGTCATGAATTATTTTTTGAAGAGGTCAGAAACATCTTCTGAAGGTTTATAATTGAATTCTGAAGGGTTTAGAAACAACTACAATATTTTTCTGAAGAATTTCAAAAATGAATCCTAAAACTGTTTTATTACCTACTTGATTAACGTCTTTCTATATTAATCTTATAATTGCAAGATTCTCTATATTTTGATCAATATGTCACGAATTAATATATATTGCTATTTATGAATATTCACTGGCCATGGTTTGTTCATGAATTAATGAGACATCTTTTCTGATTTCTGAGAAACATTTATTGGAGTGCTTTAAAACATTTTCTGAAAGGTTTAAAAGTCCTTTAGATAAATATTCTTAATCCCTCATAAACCAGTTTTGAACTCTTCCAATTCTAATACATTCAGATACTAAGTCTGACACATTCAAAAACCATTTCTGAACCCTTCACTGATCAATTATGATCCCTTCAGAAAATGATTTCAAACTTTTCAAAGGTTCATAAACATGACAAATCACATTTGTCACCTTAGAATTTTATAGTGATGTCGGTTCTATTATACGGTTCAACCGGATAATTTGGTATGGATTTTATTAAAATTTTAACGTGTCATACTTTAATAGGTTAACAAGGTAAGGGTTCAGAATATTTTTTGGAAGGCTCGGAAACATTGTCTAAAGGTCTCGAAAACCCTTCAAAGAAATATTCTCGACCCTTCATAAATCAATTCTGAAACCTTCAGTAACCAATTTTGAACCCTTTAGAAACCATTTCTAAACCCTTCAAAAATCAATTATGAACCATTCAGAAAATGTTTCTAATTCTTTCAAAAATAATTTCAAACCTTTCAAAAAATGTTTCATTTTTTCACATCTTGTTTTAACCTTTTAGTTGTAGGATTCTCAATATCTTGATCAATATCTTGAATTGAGAAATTGCTATTTATGAATATTCATGAGCCATGCTTTGCTCATAAAGTACAAAGACACATTTTATGATGGGTCATGAACATTTTTTCGGAGGGCTCATAAATATTGTCTGAATCGTTCGAAAATTCTTCAGAAAAATATTATGAACCCTTCATAAATAAATTTTAAACTCTTCAGAAACCAATTCTGAAACATTCAGAAACCATTTTTAAACTATTCAGAAATCAATTCTGACCCTTTTGAAAATGTTTATGACCCTTTTAGAAAATAATTTCGAACCCTTCAAAAAGTGTTTCATAATTTTAAGGGTTCATAAACATAACAACTCAAATTTCTCACTTTAGAATTTTCAGCGACGCTAGTTCTATTGTACGGTTCAACCGGCTAATTTGGTCTTAATTAAGTAATTGATTTTAATAAAATTTTGACCTGTGAGAATTTAATACGTTAACAAGTTAAGGATTCATAATATTTTTTGGAGGGCTCGGAAATATTGTCTAAAGGTTTCAAAAATAATTCAGAAAAATATTTTGAACTCGTGATAATTTAGTTTGGAACCTTTCTGAAACAATTTTTGAATCCTTCAGAAACCGATTTTGAACCCTTCAAAAATCGATTCTGAACCATTAAAAAAAAATTCTGACCCTTGAAGAAATTATTTCTGAAAGATTCAAAATTGATTTCTGAAGGGGTCATAAATATTTTCCAAAAAGTTCATAATGGATTTAGGAAAGGTGTAGAATTGATTTCTAACGGATTCAAAATAGTCTTTTGAAGGGTGTAGAATTGGTTTCTAAAGGATTAAGAATATGTTTCAGGCGGGTTAAAAATATTTTTCTGAATGATTCAAAATTAATTTTCTGATGGATTAAAAATATTTTTTAGAAGGGATCATAATATTTCTGTATTAACCTTCTAGTTGCACGATTCTCAATATTTTGAATACTAAGTCATGAATTAGGCTATTTTTTAATATTCTTTCATGGTTGAAACATTTTCTGAAGAGTTCAAAAGTATTTTTTGAAGGGTTCTAAATTGATTTCTGAAATTTTTAAAATTGATTTCTGAATGGTTAAGAATTAATTCCTGAAGGGTTTAGAG